TCTTCAAACGAGAAACAAATGGTTAATGTCACGAACTCGCATTTGTCGGTACAGGTGATTTTTTTAGGGTAGGAAATCAAATTAAAAAAAATCATACATCCATATTCGTGGATGTATGTATTTAAATCTGTTCATGATAAATCGTTGACAGATCTTTAGAGATCTCCATTTACTTATACGATTGGCTCGAGTGCGGAGGATTTTTATTATGCAGCTTGATAAATGTCTTACAGAGTTGTGGGAGAAGCGAATAAGATTAATTTACATTGACAATCTGCACCGCCTTTACTATTTCGTAGGCCAGATAGATAAAAAAAAATCGCCTTATTTTAGCTGCCATTGACTGCAAATGCGATCGACACAAAGTTGGAATCAAACAATGAACATTCAAAAACCATGCAACTACCAAGATTAAGTGTCTCCGGATTCTGCCAATTACAAATTTCATTTAAACCGCGGCAACGTCTTTGATCATTCTTTTAATATTATTTTCATTCCATTTTTAATTTTTGCCATAAATTTAAGATCAAGTTACCCAAGCGCTAAACGGAAGAAAAAAAAAAAAAGGGGACAAAACCAAGGATGGTGAGGAAGTTTACGGGAAACGACATTAGGGCGTTTGTATGATGGGCTCCTTCTGGCAAATATTACAATCACAGTTTATTTATCAATTGATCGATGCAAATGCTCCTTTAAGCAAACTTAATCGACTTAAATTTGTCACGAATTTGTTTTGATTAACTTGTTTGCCAGACTGTAGCGAAGATTTACCACTGCTGAAGTCTCCTCTTTGAAGGGCCGCTCAAAATGGCGCATAAAAGGCTTTAAAAAACCACACTTTCCCGCACGAAATGAAATGCAAGAAGAAAAAAAATTAGATTAGAGATAAGATACCTCTACTCAATATTTCTTTCATATTTCTTTCAGCCCTATAGAATTATAATCGACTAGCTACCTACACAATTTAACCAATAGAGGCTGCTTTTTTGGAAGGCTGTATTCCTCACGGTTCAAATATATGACTTTTATATATTCACAGTCGTTTGTACTTAGAGTATTATATACTACGAGCTGTTGCAACTAAATTTTGTCTCAAATCGTGTAAAGAAACCGCTTTCCGTTTTTCTGGTGGTATGTTGTTCTTCAAGAGGACTCCACAGTACCAACAACTTATCTTTAGGTAATCAGTGCGCGTTTGAGGAAAAGCTAGTTTGTTCTCTGTGTTCCTAAAAACAATACAGCGTTCAGGTTCGTCACAAAAAAAGACATTCTTGATCTAAATATTCTGTTGTCATCCCTTTAAAGGTCTAATACATCACGATAGCTTTATTTTTTTAATCTTTGATGAGAGAGTTTCCGCCATCCTAGTGCTTTGAAAAAATCGTTGAAATTGCCTCCACAGGTAGCCCACATCGACAAGCGCTGGGCAATTTTGGAATTTTAAAGCTATTCAGCTAATGCTTTGTTAAAGTTTCCCCAACAATTTAGCATTTTGAAAGTGAGGATTATAGCATTGAATCGAATACGATGTCATATTCGCTTTATTGCACCATGTACACCTCTTTTAAACATTTTCGACATGACAATCCTAATCCAGGAATTGGTCTATGTAATCCCCGAGGGATTTAGCAAATTTCATTCGTTCCGCATTCTGAAAATGTCCAGAACTTTGGCCTCGATACAATTAACATCGACTCTTTTTTTGACAAATTTAAGGTCAGGTTGTTGGCTGATAACAATGAATATACTCATGATTAAGTCGGATCATGATTATACGGCAATAATTCATATGTTCAGCGTCTGCACTAGCAAATGTCGCGTTAGCATTATCCGTGAAGCAGTAAGAAAGAAAAAGAGCACACCTTTCCCAAATTTTATAATGCTTATTGGGTAAGTTAGCTCGGCCTGATGGGAAACTAGAGGGCGTTCGTTCATTGGTAAGATCCGCTGCGCTCGAATTGTACATCACAACCTCATGCCATGGAACTCCCGTCCGACCCGAACTAACTTAGTGGATAAGTTAATGATATTTACGTTGGACCAGCCGAAAAAATTATGCTGGAATGGCATTAATCTGATCCCACCTCACAGCAATTCTGGTAACAACCGTTTCATTTGCGCGTGTTTATCGCAAAATCATTTCCCTCAGCACTCCATATTAAAAATAGAAGGCAAGGAGTGGTATAATTCGCAAATGTGGTGAGGCGTTTTGGAAATGTAACGTTGGTGTTAAAAGGTTTAATTAGTTTTGAATAACATTCACTTGGGGAGTTTAGAGTTTTCAGTTTTGTACGTGCTTCACAACGTAATTGTATAAATCCACCCACGCTCAAAGACCCAACACATGAACAATCTCATTGGTTCACGTTTATAACAACAGAGATTTTCGAGCTGCAACGAGCTTCAGAGTGATTGATTATGCATCGTTGACCCTACAAGAAATCTTTTTGGCAGAAACTAGGGCACAAAAAATCAAGTCATTTTTGAAGAACCTTAACATGGCCGTAAGAAACTTAACACGCGACCTCTTTACGTAAAATTAAAACACCTTACCTCAGGCAGCGCCGTTTATGACGGCAACAAAAAAGACTTCACTGCCTATTTGTTAGGCCATACCAACATTTCGTTGTTTTAATGTAAATGTTTCCGTGTTTCAGATGTCACTAGCCACAAATGAGACACAAAATGATTTTGAGTCAAAAGGTGAATACTCAAAGTTTAACTTTAAACTATGATTAAATGTCTTCCCCTTCCGACAATTTTATTAAAATATCGACAAAATCTTTAATCAATCATGCTCTTTTTTTAACAGGGTTTTCCTTTTTCTTTCCACAAGTGAACCGCACGAGCTATCAGACCTCTTGCAATTTAATGTCTCCCCACAATATCAATACATTGTCCAGTAAAAAACCGCTTAGGACCTTGAAAAAATAACCTGTCATATATTCTTTTAATTAAACACTAAATTCCTTCCCTCAGGGAAGAGCCTACATCATAAGATATTTTTTACGAACAGAGGGCAAAGATTGATTTTAAAAATTTAAAGGTTTCACAAATTGATTCAGTAAAGCTCTGGCATGGACAGGTGTTATTTATAATTCTTTAGCCCAGTTATTGTGTCTCAATAGAGAAATCCTGTCTATTTTCTCAAAAGCTTTAGCTCACTTTGAAGTTTAAGTATTATTTATTCGCATAAATCTATTTGATAAGTATACTTTGGAGCCATATTTATAATTGGAAGTAGCATTTTATCTATGGCTGTTTGTGTAGTCAAACATAGCAGTCTCGGTCGGAAAATTATTGGTGGAAACATAAACGAAGTAAGAAATCGAGCGAATCCTTTAAACATTTGAAATATATTTTAAAATATATAGAAAAGCAATTATGATTTATTCACAGTATTAAAAGATGGACAAACCAGCCAACCATGGAAAAATGTTTTTTGGTAGTTGACAAATTTATAGTGAAGCATTCTTGTTCGTTTGTCTCCCGTTGTAGTTACATCCGATGTGGAACTGGGCGTTTCGACTTTGTACTGCTGTACACACGGTCCAACTACTCTTCTAGGAACTGTTCAGGGGATAAGGTCGATGAGTGAAGGGAATGGAGGGCTGTTGGCTGTACAAATGCTTCAAGAAGATAACGCGATATTGGGTCTCGAGAAGGTGAATAGCTTCTTACAGCAAGAGCCAACAACTTTTCATTTGTTTAACCATTGAGACAGAGGAAAATAACAAACTCGCTTCACCGGTTTATGAGGGAAGCGTGTGGTAACTGACCAATACACAGCGCACATGTTCCGCAACATTAAATGAATTTATTAGAGAAATCAATTTCTTTTTCGAGCCTTATATTACTCAGTCATTCTTCACGTAGCGAATGTAGAGTCCAGATCATAACCACCGGTCTTATGCTCACATCTATACATCCGACCCAAGTAACTGTTGCATGTTATTGTTGAGGCTGATTACCATTTTATTGAAAAACATGGGCTGTAGGTTGTATGGTGTCTTCGAAAATAGAGGAACCGTATTTTACAACATGTCTGACAGTGCAAAATTAGCCTTTCCGGCGGTGTTTGTCTTTTGTAATTGTGCAAAACATGCTCTGCCGTAGATTATCTAGGATAACATTCACGTGCTGCTCCGTATATCAACTGATAACGATATGCACTTTGTTCCATATATTAAAGTCGTTCGGTACCGTTGATGTTCTTTGTGCTACGAATGATGTTTAGAAATTTCTGAAAAACAGTAACGAAATTTTAGCCCTCCATACCGTGCCAATTTCGTTCATTGATAATGTACGATTATCCTTGGAGTGTTTAGTCATGCTATTCATGCATAAGCCTCAAATTCATGACAAGAACTCTTCCCTCCGCCGTACTTACCAGGCTTGCTTTTTTATTGTTTTCGTTTTGGTTCGTTTTGTTCTTTGTACTTTGACATTTCATTTTCCCTAATTAAATTAACTTTACTCGCTGCTATCTGACAGAAATATTTGTCAGAACCATACGTTATTTATCATCGATTCCTTCGCGTATTCATTCATTTCATTTCGCATTATGATGTATTTGTCGAACGAATTTGACAACATGTTTCGAGATTTTGGCTTTCACTTCAGACCGCTTACGTGAGGCTCGGTTCTTCAGAATTCATATCGACTTTAACCTGTACATGTTTTAGGAGCCAATTTGCTTTGAACGTGCACCTGTTGGATGCTTCGGCAGTGTGGAAAGACACACTGGCACTTGTTCAAATCATATGGGTTTTCAGCTATTTATAAACGGATATACCCCACCAGACGAACGAACATGCATCACTACCCATGATACACTTTTATATGAGGGCTGTTAAGAAAGAGGTTTGTAATGTCTCGCCATAGAGATAACAACTTCCGAAAAAGAATAATCTTAAATGATTTTCTATAAATAATATTACTAAGGAGTTTTATGATAGATTCAAGATCTTTTTTATTTATAATGTTTTGTATACTGTGCAATATTGAGTTATCTATCAGCTCTCTTTAGATCACCATATCGTTTCCTGTTAATAGTGGGTAAAGGTCACGCGTACAAAGACTAATGAATTTGGCTTATCTCAAGGGATGCCAAATTGGTCCGATTTATTGGCACCTAACGTCGCTGTAGCCGCTAGGAATAGCACAACTGTTTTAAATTCATGCAGTACAACAATATATAAATGGACCATAACCCTAAGCGTGATTCATTTTAAGGTCGATCAACTGTAAGTTACAGCGAATTCCGCCAAAATGAATACAAACGTCTCTGCAGATCGTCTGGAAAACAGTCAAAATGCGAGCCGCAACGACACCTTTTTAGAAAATCTTTGTGCCGATGATGAAGCTCCTGTAGGTCCAGAGCAAGTTACAATAGTGATACATGTTCTCACTCTGCTGGTTGCCTTGCTTGGAAACACCTTCCTCATCACTGCGTTTTTAAGCGCGAAGGATTCTATGATGCTTCTTATTGTCAACATGGCTGCGTCTGACTTGTTAATGGCAATCTTTCTAATTCCACGCGTGATAACAAGAGAAATCATCAGGTCCAGCGCTTTTCTCGTTCATGGAAGTGGAGGCGTATTTCTGTGCAAGATGTGTACTTTTCTTAGTGACATGTCATTGGCGGTATCGACACAGACTCTGGTCGTAATCTTCGTTGAGCGTCTCTTAGCGATTGTTTATCCCATGCTCTATAAGAAAATCACGCTCAATGTACGCTGGAGAGCAATCATTTCTACGTGGATCACGTCTGCAGCAATTCATGCACCGTACTTTTACATCATGCGCCTAATTCCGTTCCACTCCAACGGCAGCAAGATCCAATTGTGCATTCCTACCTGGGAGCCAGCTTTTGAAGACGAATCGGCGCACCTTCGCTACAATATTTTTTTATTCACCACAGTACTGTTAATACCACTATTTACAATCTCTGTTCTATCGGCTATTGTAGTATGCGGCTCACGCAAGGATAAACTGGCTGAAAGTCGTACCGAAAAGGGAAAAAGACGAAACCGAGAACGTATCAAAAAATTGCACCGAATGGCCGCCGTTACTGTAACGGCACTTTTTATATGTTGGACTCCTTATGTTGTTTTTTCTTTCCTTGACCTCTTTTCACTAAGACCGGTTCCCGAGTGTAGTAAGATACAGAAAGTCATGCGATATATCTCGCGGATATTAGCCTCTTCATATTGTGCAGTTAATCCATGTATTTGCCTAATTTTCCTTCGAAATTTTTCGCGTGAGCTTAGTAAAATCTGTAAAAAGAACTTCTGTAAATGAAGCGTTTAGAAATCAAAGTGGAAGGAAAGAATGAGTCAGATGACAGTCTCGTGGAAGACCTAGTCATGAATCGAACCCTCGTCCTTTTGGCGAGTTGCCTGCAATTAATGTTTAACACAATAACGTGCTGAATATTTTTTGTCATTGCTGGACGCAAGTTTCACATAAAAGAAGAAAAAAATTAGACCAGTCATCATTTTAATATTAATTCACCTCAATATTTTTAGTAGTTTTTCTCACCTCTGATCCGTATAAATACCGTACGTCAATTTCAGTCAACTTGGTTTTTTTTGAGTCCTAGGAATTTTAAAGTTTGTAAAGTTGTTGATGGACTTAAAGGCTAAGTTTTTTTCGAAAAAAAGGTCATTTTAATCTTTTTTCATCATATTTCTACTCATTGTTTCTTGAATACGACTGATAGACAAACATTTCATAAACAAAATACCAAATGTATCCGGAAACGCCGTCAATCAATAAAACTCTAGAGTTTAGCCTAAAACGCTAGTAAAACCCACCTGATTAATGGAACGCACAGTTCATTAGGTCATATCAGATGACGGATAAAACATGGATTAACTGTATTTTTGAGTCAGTATTGCTCCTTCCAACAGCACAAAGAACTGATGGCATTCAATCTCCGAGGAAATATTGTTTCCATTCGCGGTATTTCAAAATCAAATCGTGAGCCATTTCAGCGAAAAGGAAACGACTATGGAACGTCTGCATTTACAGCCACGTGATGGAGGGATTATCTGTGCCTTCAATGCACGATACAAGAAACATCTACTACGACCGCTTTTAAGCAAGATCGAAAGGGCTGAAAGCGTTCTGAACTCTGTAAAGAAATAACCTTACTTGACGCTATCAACTGGATAGCCAAGGCATGGTCTGAGACAGCATCATTGACACTTACAAAATGTTTCAAAACCACTGGCTTTCCTGTGACTGACGAGCAAGTAAATGACTAAGCAAGTAGATGACTACGAAGATGAAGACGACACTCCGCTGTCGCTTCTTGCTCAACAGTTGAGAGTTGATCAGTCGATTTTGCAAAACGTTCACATTGAACTGCCTACAGAAGAAAACACCGGGGACTGGGAAAGAACATTCCATGTTTACATGATTTAAAAGTGGCAATCATATTACCCTTGTGTACACTGAATTTTTTCGTAAATTAAATAAAATGACGTTGAAAAGCTTCCTTGTGATCCATGTTGTTTGTTCCTTTGCGTGATTTATTTTAGTACTCGTGTACCGTGTGCTGGTACTTACAGTCAGACAATACAATATGCGGCATAAAATTGCCTTATGGGTAAAACCTCAGTTCACCAGACACCCCTCTAAACCGGACATTTCCTCCAGTCCCAAGGGTGTCCGATTTAGAGGGGTTCCATTGTATCATCAGATGCAAAGAAAACTACTGTGTGAAGTATTCAAGCAATGCACACAGGTTGTTCATGGTGTTTCTCAGTGACTCTATGGAGACAGACTTTTTGAATTATATTTAAAACAGATTAGTTACGCTTTATCACTTGCCTAGGACGGAGAAAATCCGGAAATTTGGAGAGCTCGAACAACTCTGGTTGCGAACAAGATATATCGTGATAATTTCAGTACTGGGTAGTACTTTATTTTTAGGAAACTCAGCACTATACATAGCGAAATCTTGAACGAACAAAAATTCCTACATTTACATATCACAAATCATTTCGAAAGTTAGATGAAAATAGACAAATCATAAATAATGGTCTGTACGAAGTAGCAATAGAGAACCTTAGTTAGTACGCAATAATCCTGAGAATTCAAGTAACAATCCTTGCTTGTATAAATATGCACTGATTTACAAGTTTATGCTGTCTGTGGCAGTAACTGATATTTCGTAACATGTTAATAATAATTCGTTCTTCGTTTCTCATGTTCATATACTTTACGTATCTTTTATTTTGTATTAAGACTAGCTCAATTGAATAAAAGGTGTACCTTTCCAGAGAAACCATTGTACCGCGTCGTCGGGGGTGACAACAAGATAATTCGGTTTTAGCACTGAGTTGATAATTTAAATTAGCCACAGTCAAAAGTTTCTAAAGCTGATGTTTCAAGCGTTAACCAGGGCCAGTCAATGTAACAAAGTGCAACATGCGAAACAAATAATGATATTAGATGACTGTATCAAATTAACGAAGATATTCAATCAAATATCTGATTACCCTCATAAAACCATTAATATGAACAACCTGGTAAGGAAATTGCTCGGGTCCTGATCACTATTGGAGTCTGTGACGTCACCTAGCACGGCCTCGCAATATCATCAAAGACTTTTGATGCTATTTTAAAACGAACAACTGGTATGAAAACCGAGCAGTGAGAGACGAGAGGAAAACTTGTGATAAACGCGCATATAACTACTGTTCATCTGCGGACATGACCCAAAAATTGATACAATTTAAGGCTACGATGTTGGATATCCCAAGGTTCCTTCAAAGCAAATGCATCATGGTATCGTATGTTACCGAACAGTTGCTGTTTAATAAGTGTTTCACTTGTAGGTTGGTGACTTTGAGAGTTTTCTAGTACGAGTATTAACAAAAAGTTTTCGATTCTATAACAAAAGCTTAACGCTTTGCCATCTTGTTATTAACCTAGATTGGAAAAAAGCCTCGAATCTCATCCGATGGAAAACTTGAAAACTGGGGAACATCAATCAGGGAATATCCCTCAGATATTCGTAGGCAGGTGAGTCTTACTTGAGGCTCGTCACAACGTCTGATTTGCCTTAACCCGTTGTGCACTGGCGAAAATGTTTGATGGATTACATTCGAAATATTTCTTCTCATTAATTTGTATTTTTTTTAATATTCGTATTTATTTTCCTGATTAAAATTAACATCGCTACTTTAGTCAACTAATAACCCACCACCATAGACGCAATTTTTAGGTTATTTATTTTTCTACAATGGCTGCCCACCCACTTTTCTAAGTAAAAGGTAACAAATAGCCTCCATATTTCTGTCCGTCTGTTTAGAAATGGATCACCACAATTTGACGTCTTCATTATGATCTATTACTGTAAAGACCCAGAGAAACATGACATCTATTTTTCTTGATATGTTAACTGAAGCAAGACGTTTTTAACGATGACGTCATCTTTTTGTCTGTCCTCCAATAGATCCCAAGTAAAACCCAATCAAATTGTATGTACACTATTTAATATGGTGGGAATCTAAAAACCGTCACCTCCCCCGAAATGGCACTTGTTAATAATAATTTTTTTTCTCTTAAAAAAAAATATTGCTTTTTTAGCTTTTGTACTTGTCAAATCCAATTTTCTTTTGAAACAGCCATGTTTTGCCATATTGTTCAATTTGAAACGTGGTTGATGTGCGTTTCCGATTGGTAGTTGCTTTCTTGTCATTTAAAAAACTTTTATCATTTGTACCATAATTTGATATTAAAAGTCGTGAATATCCGGTTTTCTGAGCTAGGAGTTATTTTACGAACGTCTGAGTAAAGTTACAAAGAGCTACTTAGCTCAGATAATGAATCAGAAAGAATGAAATTCTCTAAATGGCCGGACGAGTATAACACATCTGTCCTCAATTTTCTTAATGGTTTTCAAAGTTTCATCCGTCTTTCCTCAAACCTTCTTTACGTTAATTACCATTTCCGAAGAGAAGTAGGTTAAAGCTGATATTTTCTGTTTGTCCTAAACACCTGAAAGATTACGTTCAAGGAATACGATGTGATTTCTCTTTTCTTTTATTATCCCAAGTTTATTATTTTTTTCTTTTTTTTTTTTACATTAGCTCTACAAGAAGACAATAATTCATACTAAATACAACTTTTCTGGAATAACCTTTTTTCCATTTGACACCATACTCTAAAATATTAACAAATTAGCGTCATTTCCACTCATGAAACTTTGATTATCACGCGAAAACTGGTGGAAAACAAGTGAATCAATGGCCGAATCTTTCATGGTCATCTTTCTTGCTGTTGTTATCGCTGGCTTTCTATATGTCTGTTGAATTGTTTTGACATTGGTGCAGTCCTTCGTGACTTCATTGGATATGCACGAGTAAGTACTCAACCCTTTAACAAAAGCAGCAAAATCTGATCTTTTTATCATTTTATAATCTGTTTCCCACGTTACAGTGGGCGATCTTAATAGTGGTAATTGATCAAACTAATTTAAACGTTCTGGCCCCTTCACTTATCAGTTGGGGCCCTATAGAAAAAAAACTTGTACTCAAACATCCAATGGTTTAAAAATTTAAGACATGCTTTGGAAAGATGTATTTCACCATATTTCATCAAGATTCTACATCAACTCGCCTATTTTTTATTTTTCTCAATATACACTAACACTGGTACTGAAACTTAATAATTTAAGGCAATTTGAGTATTTTTTTTAAGGAGTAATAGACGACAGATAAACCATAAAATTATAAAAATAAAATATATCAATCAAGGCACATAAAATGTAATTTATATTTTGTTAGCAATCTTTGACATCGATGGTGACAAATACTAGACAAAAAAAATAAATGTATCACGGAAATATTGGCTTTGGACATCCTTACTGGAGTGAAAGTTTTCATTCATCAAGCTGAAATCCTTAAAATAGGAGTCCTGACAAAATTTTCATGTACATGACATTGTGCACTGAAGAGAGGCGACGAGAGACTGCATAAGCATCGAGTCATCAGTAACTTCTTTCGGTCGATTTTTCGTGATTATCGCCATTGGGTGCGAATGAACACGTGCGACTCTCAAATCGAAGCCGGACATTACTACTTTCGGTCTCAGACCCCATTTTTTGGCCCTTCATTGCATACTGCCGAAATGTTCTTCTATGCACCATAATTTTCAATTCGCGAAAAAGCCTTGGAATTAAGAAGAGGCATATCCAGGGATTGATTGCGCAATAGCAACTTGCCAAAATGTGCGAGAGAGAAGACACGACCGTGTGCATTTTGCTGCACTTTCGAAACAACCCGGGTGAAAAGAGGGAGACGAAAGCTGTAGCGATTTGGAGCGTCCAACAGATCAGAAATGCTGTAACAGTAGAAATGGCCATCATGAGTAGGCTCCGGGTGCGTTTTCGAATCCGTTTTGTTCCGTTCTCGTTTCGACATGAACTCATTTTGTCCTTTCGAAGATGAAAAGCGACAGTAATGTGCAAAACAGAAATAACGAGCAATGGTATAATCAAAACGGTTGTATAGAGAAAGATGTTGTAGCGACGACGCGCAGACTGGTCATTGAAAGCTGGTTCCCAGCTTGATTGACAGACATGATAGTCATAACCTTGATTATCGACTTCTCTCACCAGTCGAAAAGTGTAAAAGTACGGCAAGTGAAATGCTGCGGCCAAGATCCAAGTTGAAGCTACGAGAAGACGACGTCTCTTGCCAGAGGTTTTCATATACAGAAGAGGATACACCACAGCTAGAAAGCGCTCAACCGCGATCACGACCAAACTTAGAGTTGACACCGACAACGACATGTCGCTGAAGAAGCTGCACACCTTGCACAAAAATGTGCCCCCTCCTCCGTGGATAAGAAAAACATTAGACCTGAGCGCCTCCGCTACAATGAAGCGAGGAAGTAGAAAGATTACTACCAGAAGGTCTGATGCAGCCATGTTAGCGATCACTAGGATGACTTTTTCTTTCATTCTAACAAAAGCAGTGATTAGAAGGGAATTTCCCATCAGGGATGCAAAGAGCGTGAAAACGTGTAACGCGATAATAACTTGTGTTGGAAGACCAAAGCACTCTTCTTGAGAAGGAGTACTATTGCTGCTTGCAGTTGTTTCGCCATTGCCTTGGAGCGAGACATTTTTAAATACCGCCATGATATTTCAACCAAGGGAGTCTGCTATAAACAAGAGTTATATGCAACTGCTACACCAGCTGGTGTGGACGAGTTATCGCTCGTTGCGGAGGTCTGTGGGTGCAATTATATTCGTTTTAGGGTCAATGTAATAAGTACAAAAAAAAATTGGAAGGTTTTGTTTTGTTACAGTAGAAAATTAATTGTCAAAACTTTACTTTGGAAGTTAATTGCAATCTTCCTCCCCACTACAGCTTATTTTGTTTGTATACGTCATAAATCTGTCAACATGTAGCTTAAACTAAGTGCAACCCAGGTTTTAAAAAAATTCCCAAACTTTTGCAAATTGCTTAAAGCTCGCCAATCTTCAAAGGAACGGAAGTCCGGCTTTCCTCAGAGGCTTCCGCATCAATAATTTTGTTTTTTTAATCATTCAATTAAATTCCAATTAATTCCTCGCGAAAATAAGAAAATATTTGGCCTTGTTCCATTACAACCCGGCCCTTTTTCTTGTTTTTGACAACATTTTTTTACTGAACACAGCCTTCCCTTTTGTGGGCACTTCAAATAATTTTCCTCCACCAGTTGTTGCCTACTTTTAATGAAAGTGATGAATGCTATTTGACATGCGCTAGTTCTTTGAAATTTGAACCCCCTTTAAATTCATGTTTTAAAGCACAATCCTTGCTCGTGAGACAAAAAATTAATTACGAAATGCTCTTGGCCTGGAAGTAGAGGAAAAACTGTCGCTTCATATCAGCAATAAATTGAAATTAGCGGCCTTTTTTAAACAATATGTGTCTCCACAATTTATTACAGTAAGAAACACATTTTAACGTTAGTGACAGGTATTTCATAAAGTTGTAAATGTCGATTTTGATCTCGGAGATGAGAATAATCAACGCATTCAATTTATTTCTAACTTATATATGTTCCCTTGCTGGCTTTCGGGTATGAGACAGAAGTTTGAAAGTACACAAAATTCTTTAAAAAGGAATTGAATATTTACGCTGAACAAGATGTGAAATCAAAATATCTGTTCATTACAAATTATGTATGCTTGTGAGGTATTATGGCCAGCACCCATCTACTAATTTAAACCCTTTTTTTTTAATGTGCATGAAAAGTTGACAATGAAGAAAGTGCACTAACTCTTTAATCCCTGAGAGTGACAAGCATTAAATTATCCTTCAATGTCAGCTCTGAATCAAACATTAAAGTTACGATAACAAAGGAAATGATAATCAACTGGAGAAACTCTTGATTGTTGAACAAATTCTCCTTGCCAGCACATTAAGAAATGTATAGAGAACAGTATGGAGAATATGCATACTGAGGAGTGAAAGAGTTAACTCCGGCTTCACCAGGGTTCGCCAAGAACAAGCCACACATTTCCTGTTGATAATTGATAAGTCCATTGGTCCGTATTGTTACATAATATTCCACACGTAGTTTCCTTTAATTTATATCTCTTTCCTCAATAACACGTTTTCCTCTAATTTCTGGTTATTTTTTCCAAGTGTGCTATTTTTTTGCCCAGTAAGCTATTTCATTTTTCTATTGTACAAAAGATAAGATAACCTGAGTTCCGTAACATAGCAGTGTTGAAATATTGGCACTTTGCGTTGCTACATAAAATCATCGATATAGAGAGCCAAATCCTGGCTTCGTTCATTCCTTTAATTTCTTGACCTTGATTTACCAGCTCGAACGTGATATTGTCATGCTCTAAAGATATAATGGAGAGAATTTACTTCAGTCGCCTCAATTAATCCTCATCCTTTCTTGCCCTAAAACACTCATTTTGCCCGTTACACCTTCTGGGCCTGGTTGTTTGAAGGTTGTTTGAAGGTTGTTTGAAGGTTGGATAACGCTACCCAACGGATAAAACTCTATACGGCGGTAGAGAGACGGATTTGCAATCACCTATCCGCTGGATAGCGATTTATCTGTTGGATAGCCTTATCCACCCTTTATACAACTAGGCGCTGTTGATAAACGAAAATTTTCGCTTTATTTTGCGACCTTAACAAAATCAATTTGCAAGATAGTAAGGACGTCTGACGGATTTCTATTGGTGAAACACTGCTCTCTATCTTTTTAGTTTCATAATGTTTATATCAAATTTATTCGTGTTTTGCTTCGATTTCCAATTATTGGATCAAATGCTTGGCTCAAGTGAACTGAGAAAACCTCATCAGGCACTTTATAAAGCAGGTTTTATTTCCAAAGCTGAGTTTTTCCCATCTAACCGTTAATGATACTAACTAACGCACCAATAAAAGTAATTAACACCCAATCCATGCTTCTCGTAATTTTACCCACGTGTGATTAAAGGATAATAAGATTTGGCGCGAGGAAAATTCTTGCTTCTACGTTTAATATTGGACTGAGTTAAAATTTTAACTTGCCTCTTACCCTGAATATAAAACGAATTTTGGCATGGACTAATACACAACGAAACGAAACTAAATGCTTTTTGTCCTGTTACTGAAAGTGGCTCTCAGTTACATTTAAAGGTATATCCAGAATCAAGCTTGGTCCTTCTTGAACGCAGCAGCTTTTGTCACGAACTTTAAGAACGGCTCCTTAGTGCTTAAACAAATAAATTTCGCGTAAAATAGTAGATTATGGATTTAAGTGTAAGCAGTGTAGATTCCATTTTTATCTTTATACCATATGTAATACTACAAGAACACTCAAAAAGCTCGTAAATCGGTATAGCATTTCCGCTCCTGGCTTGTAAGCTTTTCGAGTATGCTTTCAATATTTCAATTTAGGAGTCGTTTCGTCGCGCCGTGAGTATTGGTAAACGGTCTGTGAGCCCTTTTTGCACTTATGCAAATGAAAGATGAACTAAAAGATGAAACAGTAAACAATAATAATCATCTCCCTAAAGTATAAATTTCATATCTTTCGCCTTCCTGCTGGATGTCACCTTCACAGACATCATGTCGATCTGCTACTGTTTTAATTTAACTTTGAATTTTGTTTATCGTAGAAAAATAACTATGTTCTATTTTCGTGATAAAGTTGCTGATTCGGATCCAAATGGTAAACGTACCCGAGACATCAATACTTAAAGCTCTTAAAATCGGCGGGATTCTTCAATTAACAGCTGGCGAAAAAAAACGACGAAAACAACATCTTATGGTAAAACGACACCGAAAACCAAGGTGGAAAATATAACAATAACAGATGATTAAAATAATTTACAATATCATCGTAAAAATGAATGCGTGCTCTCCAATAAATAAATACCGATCGTCAAAATCCCGAAAATATTAATCTATTAGAGCTTGAGTGAATCAGCGCTTAAGTATAAAAAGTGAACTTAGAAAGGAACTTTCAGTCCATGTTAACCCATGTTAACAAATATAAATAAAGGCTGCAGAAATTCTACCCGAAAAATTGATGCCGTTTTTGTGTAAGTGATACTGGAATCTAAAGTTGCTAAATCTTTGGAAAACGAAGCTATGCGATGCAAAGGTTTAGCCATATAGTTTATTCGCTATCGACATCATTTGTTTTCAAAATCGTTCGCTCTTTCGCTGTTTTGATAAAAGCTGTAAACAAGTCCTCGGGAATAGCTGTGATGACGGCTGATGTTGTGAAGGCATCCTCACGTCACCATAGTCAAGAAGGATCAATATTTTGTCTCAATACAGCCTCAGCCTTCTCCATAGGCGACGGAGAAGGGGAATGGGAACAGGGGGAAATCAGTGCCCCCCCCCTCTCCCCCCACAAGTAAAAATTTTGGGGGAAAAGCCCAACCCCACCCCTACCCCCTCCTCGTTTCCTTCGATTCCGGTATATATCGCCAACTTAACGTAAAATTAACATGAAAAATATTATCAATCGCAATCTTTTGACGTGTCGTTTCATTTGATGCCTGATAATGCATTGTGACTTTGGACACATTGGACCATTTTATACCCAAAAGCACCTAAACTTTTAAGTTTCAGAAAGTTAATTTAATTTCATTCGACCAGTAAGCCAAAATCCAATGTTTGCAAGCGCGTTGGTCTTTGTCAGCCCAATGAGGTAACTCATATTCTGAGATTCTTTCTTCTCTCCGATGGCGTGATTGCATTTCGATAAAATTCTCAGTCACAAGTCTAGAGCTATATGAGATACAAGCGTAGAAATTGTTATTGGTTGATTCTAGTTGATCGTTGTCAGCAGAACCTTTGTTTGAAGTTAAAAGGCCTAATGAATGCAAAAACCTAAATGTTTCCGCCAGAAAAACCATTCATTGAATGCCCATTAGTACTCTATTTTTGTGGCCATGGCTAATTTTCGGTTCTTGAGACTTGAACTTTCTCTCCTCAAAAGAAAATGTTTTAATTAGCAGGTCTGCCAATTGGAAATGAATGTAGAGCTGGTGTTCAGATTAGAGGAAATGTCTGTTTTTTACTTGCATGTGAAGCACTTTCAATTCTGTATCAACATTCCTTCAACAACTTACATTTATGATCATTTTCATAAACCACTTTCAATTCGAATCTATTCGAAAACAGTTGTTGTCAAGTAGGAGTGGTTGATGTCGACGTAAAACTAGAATATCTTGTCTTTTCTAATTCTTACGCCGAAGTTGCAAATTATGAGCTGAAATAAAACAAAGTATGCAAATGACTAATCCCGCTGAATATCTTTCTCAAAACAAACTTACTAGGGATTTTCCTGGCTTGGCTGTTACCATACTCATGACCGAAGGTAGGGGACTACGGATGTATCCGTAAGCTTTCTCCGTATTGTTCTGTCGAGTGAAATGTTGTGACCAACTCCTGATATCATCCATCCATCCATCCTCTTCATGATCGTCCTTGCCTTCGCTTGCCGTCAATTTTTCTTTTTCAATTTTTCTCCGAAGTGCTCAAAGAATCAAAGGGTGTAACAGGAGGAAGAAAATCAGAGCTTTTTAGTCAAAAGACAATGATATTGGTGGCTGATATATCGAGGCTATGATAGTTACATATTATCTATTAAACCAAGCTCGCTATTTGAATTAACGCAATCTTCATATCAGT